TTAACCGTTACATTTGAGAATTTTAACACTAACCCTTATAAAACGAAATCATTCCGAAACTCGTCCGGGACTGTTCCAAAAGCAGTCCGATCGTCTCGGACACTTCCAAATATGTTCCAGGACAGTCCGTCAGCAATCCGAGTCCGATCCCGGACTGTCCGAAAGTAGCCCTCGGCACCCAGGACTGTCCGTAAAAAGTCCGATGCTACCGGACAGTCCCTAATAAGTCCGGTAGTCCGGTCCGGACCGTCCGAAGACAGTCCGAAGACAGTCCGACTATCAACCCGGGTCGTCACAGGACGGTCTCGAGCTGTTTAAGCACAAAAGACTTGTACTTTTTTTGTGAAAATTGGCAAACTTTATCCATACAATGATTTTAATAAATTATGAAAATTTGTTTAATCCACCTATAACGCAAATTCAACTTTTTGCTGAGCACTGAAAGCGCCAGGGAAATTATAGGACAAAATTTTATTTTATTTTGTGCTGGCAATTTTCCTCTTTCAATTTGAGTAAACTAAACAGGCATATTTTATTTTTCAAAAAGGTCGTTCTTCATGACCTGAACAGAACATTTCGTGCGATGCAAAAGCATTTGCCGAAAACCGCATGACGATGCGCTGATTCGTTCGTTGGTTACAGCGCTCGTCTCGGAAGAGATTCTGAGCCCAGCTGAAGAGGCTCTCCTGTGTGGTCTCTTCTCAGCCGTCAGCGTAGCTCAGTTCGACAACGACACATCAAAATGAATACACTACACAAAATAATCATATTTGACCTACTGCCACTAGTGTTATCCTATGTAACAGTCGTTCCCCATGGGGGAATCGTGATTGAAGGTAAAACCGTTGCTGTTCATGCATTGAGGGATGTGTTCCACACATTAGTGCTTCATCTTAACTCGCCATTCCGTGACAATTCCCTCAGAGGTAAATGCAATTGGACAGAAGAGGTTGTTCATGACTCAGATCCTTGGGCATCAGTTTGGAGCCTTGTAAATGGGTACGGGCAACTGACCATCAATGCAGTTTGTAAAGATAACCCAATGCTGTGTGGTGGACATGCACCCCCAGAAGCTCGATCACGCAGAAACAAACGGTTTCTTGGTATGGGAGGCCTTGTTGCAGGACTGGCGGGAGTTAGCTTAGCTATGAAAAATGGGGTGGTGATATCACAACTTCAATCAGCAACCGAGGCACTCTCTCGCAATCAACACCTGGCTCGACAATTCATCAATGACACTCGGATGAGTATCGACCACAGGCTACACAAGTTGGAAAGACTCATACTTATGAGGGCTGAAACTCAAAGTCAGATAATTGACTCCATAAGAGAAGAAGTATGCTCATCGAGAGCATCATTTGCTGCAGTCTTCTACCTCATTTGTGAGAAGCTTCGGATATCACATGTTCATGCAGTCTTACAAGGGAACCCCGCCAAGTGTAAATTCCCGATTTTCATTCTACTTTGGGAAATTGTTGGTCTAAATATGTCATCGAAGGACAC